GGTGTCTAATTGAACGGTGCGCATCTTTCTGTGTACAAACGAACGGTGCGCAAGTGAACGGTGTCTAATTGAACGGTGCGCATATTTCTGTGTACAAATGAACAGTGCGCATTTGAACGGTGTCTAAATGAACGGTGCGCATTTTATTGCGTGTCCAAATGCACCGTGTCTAAAATTTTGGGTCTATTTGCAACGTGTGTAATTGCAACGTGTCCAATTGAACGGTGTCTAAGTGCACCGCTCCCGTCGAGACCACCCTCTCCAACAACTGGGGGTCCAGGTGCAACCGTCGGACGAACTGCCTTCGCGAGACGAAATCCGATTGGCGGACAGCCAACGCGAGAGGGAGCAGCGCGCACGAGAAGAAGAGCGGCTCATGGAAATGGCCAACGAGGAGGCGCAGGCGCAGTTGCAACGTCTCGTGTTAATGATACAAGAGGGCGCACGAGATCAGGCCGAGAACGAATCATCAGAGGGCAGCACCATCGACCAGACGGACCTTTTCTGGACGGACCGGGAGATTTGAATGGCCCAGAAAGATTCGAAAACAATAATGCCAAAAATGCAAAAAAATAAAATTTTTTAGGTATAAGGAAATTAGAAAGATAAGTTAGGATAAGGCGACATAGTCAGGAATAAGCAATATAAAATTATTATGAATTAATGGCTATGAATTTAAATTTTTGGTTTAGTTTTCGTTTGCTTTATTTTTTTTTGTATTATTATTATTATGGGTGTTATTAATAAATATTAGGTATATATTTGAATAAAATAAGAACCGTGATACAAATTAATTGTTTATTTCGACATAATAAAGGCAAACATAAAAAATGAGAAGAACCAAAAAGAAACCTAAGAAGAAAGCGCACACAATACAAAATAAGCGAATACACGATTCCAGGAGAAAAAGATAATTAAAAAACTAATATAACAACTTAATTTTAGAAAAAAGAATATATATTCACAGATCCGCAAAACGGAAAGACGAATCTTCTGGAATGGTGTAGAAAGAGCGAAATAGAATCTTCTCGAAACCTCGATGATCCAATTTTAAAAAATTAAGGAATAACACAGGTGCAAACATGATGGAAAAAGCGCTAGAAAATGGAAACCGAGAAAAAATTTCGTTAAGGATGAAGCAATAAAAATATTGATCACGAGGATTCCAGAAGGATCGAAGGCCCGCTATAGGGGAGAGGGAAACCGCTATATAAGAGCGCGGGTTGAGCCAAAAGGGGTCGTCAGATAACGAACGGTCGAGCGATTAAATATAAGGAAAACTCGCGAAATCGCAGAAAAATCGATCGCGGCGATAAGTACTCGGGATTAACCACCTCGTATACACCGAGTAACAATTTATTCAATTTGTTCATACAATAGAGGATAAAATAAAAGAGTTGCCGAGACAAGTGTAACTAATGTAAAAAGTTTGTGTAATAAAACAGTGTTGAAATGTTAATATTCCGTGTGAGTTAATTAACGAAACATTGGAACCAAACTGCACAAGAAAGCACCATCGGAAATTGCGAACAGCTCGACATCGGAAGCTGATTGGTGAAGCAGCTAGGGTGACTAGATTACATCACAGGTGATTGGCGGTGCTTCTGTGCATTACAAAGGCATCCAGAAATACAATCCCGGATTGGCGAAAACCCTGAGCAGCATCCAAGCGGTGTGCGGGTATTTAGGAGAGCGCAATAATAAGGTAAAAGAAGGCGACCAATGAGAAACAGGTAAGCAATTAAATTCTAAAACTTTCAAATCAAACAAGAAGGGAAAGAAAAGGTCTCGAAGGAAATAATCCAGGTGATAAAGTCAGTATCGAAAAAGCGATAGTGTCAATCAGGATCCAAAAGAGACGGCATCGAATCCGTAAAACTTATTAAAACTCTACGTGAGTATTAAATTAAATTACTGCGTGGAGTACAGACAATCTTGTCGGTAGTGCAGAGAAAACCGACTGGCGACCGTGAAAAAATAATTATAATTAAGATAAACGCCTAGGGACGTGATTTTGGGGAGTTCCGGTCACACAGGCTCTCCGTGACTGGCGGGGTCCAGGGGCGTAACTTGCCCATTACCAAGCGGTATGGGCGGCCCCATGGATCCGCGTCGATCGCCTCGAGGAGCTCCTGCCACGCTCGGGACTTCGTCTTCTTAATGGCGACTCTGAGGGCTTTACGCGCGATGCGATAGCCCTCGTAGGCCGCCTCCGCTGCTCGGATTGCCTCGTCGCCACGATGGAGTCGGCGACGGGCATGTGTGTACCGGTGGTGGGCTCGAATGCTCGCCCTCCGGAGATCGGCTATCTCCTCCAACCATCAGTACACGGACCTCCGACTCGGTGGCCCGCGAGAACGTGGCATGGTTGCGTCGCAGATCATAACCAACGTCTCGCGGAACCACCGGAGCTTCGCTCGGAGGTCGCGCGGCCCGGCCGGTGGACTTGGCCAGGCCGCGGCCTGAGCAGCGGCGGACAGGATACTTGGGTCCAGCTTTCTAAGGACCCACCTTTGGAGCGGGGGTGTCGTCTTTCTTCGTGGCGACCCCGAGGGGGACCAGGGAGCTCGGAGACCTTCATCGTAATGTAACGATGATCGGAGAGAGTCTCCAGATCGTCCTTGACCTTCCACTCGGACACACGTGCAATGGCGGACGGGGAAGCAAAGGTCACATCGACGATGGATCCCCCGTTGCGCCTCACGCACGTGTGTTGCGTGTCCTCATTGACTGTGGCAAAGCTGCAGGCCGCCATGCATTCTTCAAGGACCCTTTCACGTACATCGGTCCTGGGGGAACCCCAAGTCACCGACTTGGCGTTAAAGTCCCCCAGGACCAGTAAAGGACAGGTCTGAAGGCGGCGTATCACCCGCTCCAGTCCGTTCAAGAACTCCTCGAATTCGTGGAAGGGCCTCGTGGGGGAGAAGTAACACCCCACGATCGCCAGTTCTCCCCATTTGCATGCGACAAATCCCTCTCCCTTTTCGAGAGGGGAGAAGAAGATGGACGCATGTCCCCACCGGAAGTATAATGCGACCGAGCCGTCCCTCGACCCCAGCCACGACGGGTGGTCTGGGACGGAGTAAGGCTCGGCCGCTACCGCAAGGCATCCACCTAGCTCCGCGAGGCTGTGCACCAGGAGGTCCTGAGCCTCGCGGGCGTGATTTAAATTGTCCTGGAGGAGTAACGACATTATGTGGTGTTTATTACATCCTCCTCCAGGGCCCTGCTCTCAGGAGGGGAGGGAGGTGCAATCCCCTCACTGGAAGACGCTGCAGTTGTTGGTGCAGCGGCCGGTTCTTCTATCTGAGAAGTGGACTCGACGCCACTCCTCTGTTTTGGGCGCCCGTTTTCCCTTGCCGGGGGCAGGAGCGCACGCTCTGCCTCCCAGGCGGTGGTTTGCGGAACGCCCAAGATCCGCGCATAAGGGGCACTTGGGTGCCGACGTGCACGTTGACACCCTGTGTCCCCGGTCGCCACAGTTGAAGCAGCGACCCCTTCTGTCTTTTTCCGGCGCGGTAAAAGTGCACGCGGCCATCACGTGCCCGCGCCGGAGACATCTGTGGCACTGGAGAGGCCGCCTTTCCAGTACCTCTATGAGTGCGCGTACCCAGCCGACTCTGAGCGTCCCGGTCTCGACAACCTTTCGGGCCGCGGTCAGTGGGCACTGCACCCATGCTGTGGACAGCCCACCGGGGAAGGCACGAGGTTGGCTGACCTTAATCTCGGTCGACCGGCAGCCCCCGGCGGACGCCACAGCTTCTTTGATCTCCTCGAGGGAGATCGACTCGTCGAGACTTCGGACACGTAATTCAACGGTCTTCGTTGGTCTCGCGAGTCGTTCCCCCTTCTCGGACACCAAGGGGAGCATCGAGTTGTACAACGCTTCCGCCTTGGTGTCGCTATTCCCACCAGGGACCTCTAGGATTATGGCCCTGGTGAGTGCTCGTCTTGGGCGGAGGCCTTGAATACCGAGGGGCTCGAGAGACACCCTCTCTCGGACATATTTCAGGACCTCTGCCAAGAAGCCTTCTGCTGCCCCCTCCGGAGCTGAGAGCACCACCGCAGCGGAGCGGGGTGGCCTTTCCAGCTTTAGTTTGGGAGAGGTGGCCTTGGCGGCACCCATTTCCGGTTTGGTCGGTTCTTTTCCCTTTTTGGTGCCACCGGGCTTGGCCGAGGCGGAAGTTTGGGGGGCCGGCTTCTGCTTCCCTTTCTTCCGCCCCACCACCTGGGACCAGGTGTCCTTAGAGGTGGAGGGAGCGGAAAGTTGGGAGGATGGCGGCGGGGAAGCGGGCAGCGCGGGTTTGGGGGCCTGGGATGCGGCCTTGGCCGCCTCCTTAACTCCCGGCCCGGATCCGCCGCCGCCACTCTTTTTGGTCTTCCTCTTCTTTTTCTTCTTTTTCCGCAGACCCGTACCGGTGTCTGCGGAGGTTGTTGGGGCAGAGGGCAGAGGTGCAGGCGAGTTTGCTGCACTGGTTGCAGCCAGGTCGCTGCATCCCGCCCCTGCCGTGACATCTACCTCCGTCCTTCCCTGCGGTTGACCCCGCAGGGGAGAACGGACGGACAAGCGATGGACGACTTGCTCGTAGAAGACAGATAGCTTTTCGGCCATCTGCCTGTCCGTTTCTCTGCGGTGAGCCTTGAGCAAGGACTCATTATCCTTGAGCTCTACCGGCTTCGCCGCAGGGTGCCCTACTTTGTCCCGCTGGATGCAAGTATCCGGCGGGGGGACTGTCGCCTCCTTCCTTCTTTTCCTCTCCGTGCTCGGAGGGGGGGGAGAGATGTACATCTCCCGCGATGGACTCGAACCACGGGAGGTCCGCGACCGGTCCTTAGGTTGTCGCGGTTTGGCTTCTCGCTGCGGAAGTGGAGATGGAACGTCTACCTCGGGAGGTGCGGCGGAAGCCTTGAGCTTAGCGAAACCTATCGCTGTGAGTTCCCGCCGCAGATCCTTCAGCTCGTCATGAAGCGAGTCCACTTCGCGCTTCAAGACGAGGTTTTCCTTAGAGACGCTGTCCAGTCTCTGTCGGTCCTCAGAGAGGAGATCGTGCCTCGCAGCTCGGCCACCTCGCCGTCCAAACGACGGTTCAGCCCCTCCAACCGCTGAACCTCACCCTCGGTGTCCATGCGGCTGGAGAGGACGCAGACGGCCTTCTCCATGTTGACCGCGGCCTCCTTGAGATGCTTAATATAAGTACCCTTAAGATTCTTGGAGGTCGCGGCCATCCTAACCACCGACGCCGTCAGTTTGCCCGATTGCTGGACAATCTGGGACGTCGGCATGTCCCGCGTGATTATTTCCGGGGTTGGTAGCGAGCCCCGGAGTGAAGCCGGTTCGGGCTGAGAAGGAGGGAGAAACGCGGGGCCCAACGACCGGGTGGCCGCCCTTGTGGACTCAAGGTCCTCCGCGAGCTCGCGCTCGGCGCGCAGCTCCAACTCCCTCTCCTCCCCCTCATTTAGCTTTCGCTTGGCCTCCGCGAGGCCTACATACTCCCCGGTGGTGGAGGGACGCCCTCTCCCTCGATCCTCTTATCCCCCTGGGATGTATCCCTCTTTGCAGGAAAAGGGGGAGATCTTGGGGCTTAGTTGCCTGACGGGCCCCTCCTCTGCCCACAGAAGCGACTTCGACTTTCATGTTGGAGTCGTCCTGCGGCAGCTGTATGGCGGCGGGATCCACCGGAAACCGAACGCTCGAGGGCTCCGGTTTTCGGTCCCCAGATCGTGAGGAAGCATGATGGTGGTTGCCTTCGCCGCCTTCGCTCTCCGAGCCGTCCGAGTACCACAATGGGCCACAAGGGCGACTGTCGCGGGACTCGGAGCGACTCTTGCGCTGCGCGATCCGCTGAAATTTAGCGGATCGTAAAATTGGAGAGTCCCTTCCCTCCACTGGTGGGTCGACACCAGCCTTCGCAGACGCAGTATTTTGCGCCGTCCCTGCGGGGCAAGCGACGCAGAGCCCGTCGTTGGATAACGACGAGAGGGAGCCCGGGACGGTAACTCCCTCACGCCGGCAGATGGAGGTCCGTTCCCCCTGCTGCGGTAAAAACATCTCCTTAAATTGCGACATCCCATATGATTTTAAGGTTGGTTTAATTTCGGAGTGTCCTTCTCCTAGAACGGTTCCCAGCCAAGGGTAACGAGCCCGTCCTGCCCGGGTTTGGGATCAGGGTATCCTTCCCTTAGGTACACTCTTAGTCTGACCGCTCACTGAGGACCTGTCCGGCAAGGGAGACCCTGCCAGGAACCAAAGTTCCCGCCGGCATAGCCCCTCAGATCATCACGGTACACAAGCCTGGGAACCACGTCAAGATGGTGTACCACTCCCAGGAACCTAATTTAACCTAACCTTTTTTTTTATTTACGCAGGGGAAATGCGTTTACGCACATCTTGACCCAGACTGATGTGGGCCAGGGTAGTGTGGGACTCACCCCACCAAAGCGCACCACGGTGGGGAATACCCACTAAAACCCCTGCGGTGTCCACCTTCCACCTTTTTAGGGCTGCCCCGGTACCTCAGTTTAGAACAACCCAGAGGCAGCCCAATAGGTATGGGGACTTTTGCCCCCCCAATCCTTAAATAGAGGAGCTTTGCTCCTCCACGATCGGGGGAAGGGAAGACACAGACCCTCCCCCGCCGTCTGCGGGCCGAGTGCAATGAGGGAGAAACCCCTCTCGGCCTCAAGTCAAACGCCGAAGCGGACTTGACCCCATGATAGTAGTATTGACCTCCCAATTGTCTCAAAACGCGAGACAAGAGGGAAACCCTCTCCCCACAATGCGCCCAGCCACCGCTGAATTGAGGCTAACTAGTGCTCAAAACAACGGGGACCGGGCTTTCCCTTAATATTGCCTGGTCTCTTAAAGGAGAACCAGGCACCACCTACTATATCTGGTGCTTAACGCACCAGATATACGGAGGAGCGGCTCCCCGGATCCATATATCGGAGCCAAGGAAAACCGCATCCTCCCCACCCTTATCTGGGTTTGCTAACGGGCACGGGAGCCCCCCGGCCGATGGCCGAGCACCGGGCCCCACCCATTCAGTGGGAAGACTCCCGACCCAACTCCTCACGGAGGGGACACCTCTCATCCTCTGTACAGTTGGCCGCTCCGTGCCCCGGCCGGCCACAGCGATAACAGAGATCACTGTGGTCGACCTGACTGGAGCACAAAGCCCTGCAGTGCCCAGGCTGAAAACACCTGTAGCATTGCAGGGGCCGGGGGCGGAGTGCACGCACCCTCGCCACCACCCAGCCAACCGGCAATTTGCCTACTTTAATCGCCTTGGCCGCCGCCTCAAATGAGCAGCGAACCAAGGCGACTCCACCCGATGGCTGGGAGCGACGCAGGGATACAACCCTAACGCCGCTCCCGCCACCGAACTCTGCCTCAAACTCCTGGCGGAGATCGTCCTCTGTGGTGAACTCGTCCAATCCCGAAACTAAAATCTCCACGTTCCGGGATGGACGAGCCACTCTAACTCCTTCGGGGAGAACCTCTCTCAGCCTGGAGGCAAGAAGGTCCGCCTTGGATTTGCGGTCCTTCACCTCCAGTAAGAGATACCCCTCCAAGGTCCGTCGCACCCTGGAGACGCCCGCCAACCTAGGGTCCACCTTGCCTTTCGCGTCCCGAAGGACTTGGGCATACGACATGCCCTCAGCCTCGAGACGCAAGGTGACCGCCTCGGTACGCGGGAGAATCCCGCGAGGCGGCCTCTGTTTTGACGAGGGCGAGGGCAACGGAGGAGAAGACTCCCTTCGAACGGCCCCAGCGGCCGTCCCCCCGCTCATCGCAGGCGCCTTGGTGGCGTTAATCGCCTTCTTCTTCTTTTTTCTCTTCTTCTTTCTCTTCACCTTTTCCTCCGCCTGTGCCCTAATCGGAACAGGCGGGGGAATCGGAGACCCACTAACAGGGGGGGCTGCCTCGGGAGACCCCGCTCCAAAAGTTTTTGGAGCTCCCCCGAGACAGTGGATCGCACCACCCTCTTGATCTCTTCCAGCCAAGAGGGGGGAATCCGATTCCCCCCCCCTGACTGGAGTGGAGCACGTAGCTCCTTCCGGCCTCGGCATGGAAACGTCGGCAAAAGCACGCACTGACGTTTCCATGCTTTCGTGAAGCGCGTGAAGCGACCGGGAGGCCTCAGTATGGACCTCCTCGATCGCCGCACGCGCCTCCACAACACCCTTCTTAATTTCCTTCAGGTCAGCGAGGGTAGAGATACTAACCTCATCAACATTCTCACTGACCTGGAGGATGGCTTCCGTAATTTGTCGCTCAGAGGCCACCTGCCCCCGAGCAACTTTTTCTACTACATCGGCCATGTTGGCGACACCCCTCTTGATGTTGTCAACAGACTCACGGAGAGGGGTGAATCGGGTTTGGAGCTCCAGGAGACTTGATATGATCTTTTCCCGGAGCTCCCTCGGCCTGCCAGCTTTCTCCTCCCTAGACATTTTGGAGCGATGACAAAGTCGCTCCCAAAGTTCGTCCAGGGAGTCAGCCATATGATCAAAGAGGGCGCCGATGCCCATCGTAGCGAGGGAGCAATCGGCCGTCCCCGTACCCTCTTGAAGAGCCGACTCAAGACTTTTGTCGGCCTTCCTCTTATCGCGTGGCTTCTCTGTAGCGGCGGTAGCAGAATGTCCAGAGAGGCCCGCCGTCAACCCCTCTTTCTGCCCTTCGCTAGATGACGACGCGGCGGGAGCAAGGACAGTACTCCCACCGTGTCGGCCCCTGAGTGTCCGATCACTCTGGGGCGGTAAGTCCTTCTTCGTCTTGCTGTCCATCATATTAGGTTTCTACTCATTTGGTTTTACATCGGTGTTTCCCTTCACCTAGATCGGTTGGTAAACAAAACCTAACGAGCCCGATCTGCCCGAGGGTTGGAGCGCTTTTAAGGCGGCACTCACTCGCCTTTGACGTGGATACTTCATCAGGTTTAATGGAGCACTTTATAAGCCGCTCCCTTCCCACAGGAGCGACCACCCCACCCTCAGTATCCACCGCTGTTTGTCCGCGACTGCTTATTCCCCCCGAAAGGGATATTCGCAGCTAACCTCAGTACTTGAGGCCGTTCCCCTATCCGCAACCTGGGGACGCGCTCGGTGGCAGTCAGCTCTGCCCTTGGAAGGCCGGGGCTGTCCCCCCGACCCCCAAACCGAGTATTCCCAAACCGAGAACCTTTTTTTTTTCTTTTTTATTTACGCAGGGGAAATGCATTTACGCACACTCTGACCCAGACTAGGTGTGGGCCAGGGTAGTGTGGGACTCACCCCACCAGAGCGCACTTTGATGGGAAATACCCACTAAAACCCCTGGGGTGTCCACCTTCAGCCCATATAGGGCTGCCCCGGTATACAAAATTGCTGAATGCGTATAAACAGAAGTATTGAAATCCTATAGTTAAACTCTACCGGTTCCGGCATAAGTTAGCAGTTATTGCCCGTATAAACCAGGCCTAAACAGAAGTATTGAAATCCTATAGTTAAACTCTACCGGTTCCGGCATAAGTTAGCAGTTATTGCCCGTATAAACCAGGCCTTACTGGTGCCCTTTTGGCTCAATGGACCCTTATTGCTAGTCTCTACGCCATTCTAAATATTTATTAGGTGCTTTCCAACCTTAGACCATATATACTTATAGACACGGCTTCAGACAACTATCTTGAAGCAAAGATAATATCATCTACATGACGTAACATGTAGGCAAAGCAAAGGCGCGTTTATAGACGGCTTCAGATAACTGCCTTGAAGATAAGATAATATCATCTACGAGGCCGCGTTTAGCCGAACAATTGCTGAAATGCCCACATGTGACGTCACGTAAATGATATTATCTTTGCTTCACCTCGACTCGTGGATTCATATCTACAGGTCGACTTCCGGTGGCGCAATTCGAGCGGGAACACGCTTTCCCGCGCTCTCCTGCAGTTGAGCGATTTTTGTGCTTTCTCGGTGGTGTTTTCGTGTTTTTCTCGTGGCCCTTTCCCTCTAGCGGGGTCCCTTGTCGCTCCCGGGAGTGGCTCAATACTGTTTTTCTGGGTTTTCCGGTGCTTTCGCGTGTGAGACACAATCCTGTCCTCCTCTAACCTCTCAAGAAATTTTCGGCCGGATGGCGGGCTTCCGCCCTCTCCTGCTTACGAGGAAATAGGCAACGACTTGCGCCTATTTCTCATGGATAACGCGTCTACGAGACCGAGGTCGGTTTCTCCGCCCTCGGGGATGGAAATGGATACGTCGAACTCTGTAAGTTTGAAACGGCCTCATCCTTCCACGGACGAGGAGGCTGTCCGAAATTCAAAAACGATAGTAGCAAAGAGTAAGAAAAGCATAAGGAAAATGGTTTCTGACTCGGCGACGCCGTCGGTTCCGGCTAATGGTCTCGTCGTTCAAAGTAAAGCAGGCGGTGAGGAACCTTCACCCCCTCAATCTATGGAGTCATCTAACAAAAAGGGCCCCCGTCGGGTCTCGACGCCGGCTCCTCATTTAACACAGGCCGGGACATCCTCTATTACGGTAAGAGATAACCTGCCACAGAAGTACCGGGCTTTCACCCCGGCTCCTTTTGTTGTTCACTTTCGTGTTCAAACGGCCCCTGATACGAGAAAGAGAAAGATCTCACTTCTTACAATTTCCAAGAAACTCACGTCAGCTAACCTGAAATTCACAAGCGTTCACAGATGTGGCCGAAATACGTGAAAGGCAATTTTCCCGTCAAAAGCAACGGCTAATGTTTCTTTGACAAACAAGTACGTGAAGGAGGCGGGAATGAGTGCTTTCATCCCCAGATACAAACTCAGCAGGAAGATTCTAGTGAGAGAAATTCCGTTAGACATGTTCCTGGAAGAACTGAAACAGATCATTGAAGATGAAAACTCCAACGTAATGCTGTTGAAGCTTTTCCGACTGCGGAGACGCGATAGATCTACGAGGGAATGGGTCGATTCCAAGACGGTGTGCTTGGAAGTGGCAGGTGAATTATTTCCAGAATCTCTTATGATTCTTCGTACAGTCAACCCGGTTCAACCGTACGTCCCGGCGGTCCGGATGTGTTTCAACTGTGGCCGTTTTCGTCACTTGAGCAAGTTCTGTGAAAATGACTCTCGGTGCCTGACGTGTGCGGGCAACCACAAAAGTAGCAGGGATAACTCGTGTCCCATCGAAAAGCTGTGTGTCAACTGCAAGGGAACACACGCGACCCTGGACCAGTAGTGCCCTGTATTCAAACGGCAGGTAGAAATCTCCAGAGTAATGGCGTTCGACAATCTTCCTTTCTTCGAGGCCCGGTCAGTGGTCCTCAGAACTGAGGGAAATGGAAATACTCTCGTTCCGATGAAGACACTGAAGAATTTTTTCCCTCTTCCCAGCCGTGGTGGGATTACGCTGGTAAATTCGCCTGTTGCTTCTGGATCAGTCAGCTCGTTGGGATGGATGTGGCCGCCCGGGTCCCGCTTTTGTGAAGAGGAGGTCAAGGAACAAGTGCTCAAGCTGGTAGACCACATAATGAGAATGGACAATATTGACACCCTGCTTAAGCGTATAAGTAACACTCTTAACTTACACTCAAAATTAACAATAACTGAAAACTAGGTAACTATTAATAATGGCTAATCAAAGGTTAAAGATTAAGCATAATCCATTCGGCCTTGTCCATTGAAATGCAAAATCGGTTTTACCAAAATTTGCTAAACTAACTCACCACTGCATGTTTTACAATTTTATTTTAATTTCAGAAACGTGGCTCACTCCTGCAAACTCCTTTATTGTAAAAGGATTCGACACGATGAGAGAGGACAGAATCGGGCGCCCAGGAGGGGGAGTTCTAGTACTGGTCAACCGATCGATTAAGTATTGTCAAGTTTTCGGTGTGTATAACTGCGAAGGTAAGATTGAGGCTTGTGCGGTGGAAGTTTTTCTGCGAGGTGAACCGTTGGTTTTGGTGGCGTGTTACCGCCCTCCTGGTTCGGGGGGGGGGGGGCGTGTTCCGTTTGACCACAGTACGATTCGACACCGATCGATTCGACACCA